TGTGTTGCTACTGAGACAGGGGATAAGGTGCAGGACTAGGATGTATATTGAGATAGAAAAGAGATTAAACAAGTGAGCAGAGGTCAGAGGGACGTACCACCAAGAAAGAAGACCTGGGAGCTGAGTGAATCCTATGGATCCAGTGTCCCCAGGTTTGAACCTCCTAGACCCATGGGAAGATTGAGGACAAGGACCGTCCCGCAGAGCCAACAGAGACTGAAAACATTGGCCTGGGGTGGCCCCTGAATTTGGGCTTCTAGTTTTCTAAGATGGGAGAGAATACATTTCTGTTTGGTAAAGCCATCGCCTGCTGTATTTCTGCTGGGGGCAGCACTGGCCAACACGAAACAACACAGCACATAAAGCCACATGAGACAGATGGGATTAGTTGTGGGCATTGTTGCTTTATTGCCTCCGAGTTTCCAGCTTTAGCTAAATGGCCAGCCCTGAACCGATTTTGAAGTCATTCTGAATTTTAAAATGTTTTCCTTTTGTGCTGCTATTCTCATTTCCGAGGGCAATCTTTCTCTCTTCAGTTATTTCACTGAATCATTAAACTGTCTTTCTTTTCATGACCTGTATTAGCCTTCCCTTTATACACATGCATAATGAACTTGGCAATGGATTAAAAGTGGGTCAGAGTTTCTGTGCAAGTTGGCATCTTTTCGGAACTCTGCCTGTCTGTCTGGGTACCGCATGGCGGGGACAGATAGCTCCCCGAGAGTAGACTGAAGTTTCTTTAGCTCAGTATCTTACCAACTCAGGAAACAACAGGCTGTAGATGCAAAGATGAAAAAGACCTCATTTATTGCTAGGTGTTCTTACCTGTAATGTTAGAAGTAAACTCTATAGCTAGTTGCCAACAGATGGTTTTCACAAAATAGGTATGCTGGAGTATGGATCAGAAAGGAATGTGAGAGAATACCACCTGCTAGTTGTCTCCTGAAGCTTTTCTCTGAAAAAGCTCCAAGTGGGAGTGGCTAATCAAAGCAGTGTTATCTGAGCTTCAAACTGGTTCATTCTGGTTAGACTTCCTGCTGAGAATTTGCATTTCCACCTGAAATGTACTCCACAGAAGCTAGGTTTTAACAAGGTCCCTAGGGAAACCCTAAGAATCACCTGGGGATCTGAGACTCACATAGGGATCCTGTGTCTGGGATAGATAGAAAGGCAACACTTTCTCAGCAGGAGATGGGACCAGAACGAACCAGTTCAACACCTTGTATAAGATCTCTGACCTTCATCTGCAATGATTTTGGGGAAGACCTTTGGCTGGGAAAAATGGAGAGAACATCTTTCTGATTGGCACAAACTTTAGAAGTTGGAGTACTATGTGTTGAGCAGACATCCAGCCTGTTAATTGCGTGTGGTTCAGTTTATCCTCGGGCCATCAGCAGAGAACACCTGGTACCTTAAGTTCCTGTTTTGGTATCTTTCAGTGAGGAAAAAGAGATCCTCCTTAGTCTGTTGACTCTAGGTGCAGTTCTCAAGGATTGTTGTTGTTGTTGTTAAGTGCCTTTGAGTCGGTTCTGACGCATAGCCACCCTGTATAGAGTTTCCGAGGAGCAACTGGCTTAGGCAGCTGTTAAGGATAAGAGAAGTCTCAGAGAACATGCTTAAGGCACAAAAAAAACCACATCAAAAAATGAGAATAACAAAGCAGAGTTTGTAAAAAGGATAAAGTTCAGAGAACTACGAGAGAACAGATGTGTGGGGAGTGTAGGGTATATTGCATATTTGCTGTCCCCTGGACTGCCGACCTCTCCAGGACTTCTTTCTATAACAGTTGAAGTGCTAGAACAGTACATTTAGTAAATTCAAATAATAGTACATCTACATCGGTTCACAAAATAAATAATAATTATTATAATCAAACTATTTGCAGTTAGGGTTTTTATGAATGGTTATGTATTGAACCTGACACTGTGTCTGCCCATTTACCTACCTAGCAACCTACCTGTGGAAATGAGCTTAGAGGTGAGAGGTTTGACCAGGGACACGAACTGCTCATTGGTAGATGTAGAATTTGTCCTCTGTTGGCAGGAGCTTAGCACTTCTTGAGTTTTAGGTTAATTTTAGAGTTCAGGTTAAGTAGACCCTTCTCATCTGGTCATGGAGAGATTACAGTTAATGATGTTTCTGAAAAGAAGGAAATTTTATGCTTAATGCTGAGTTGTCTTGGCAACACAGAGTGAGTTAAGGATCAAGTTTTATTTAAAACCTTGATTCATATGAGTTGAGATCCTAAAAAAAATTACCCATTCAACGAAACTGACATGAAACACACATTCTGAGAATGGCACTTAGGTAATCATACAAGAAGCTCTCACTTGACACTTTGAAAGGGTTCTGATTTTAGCTTTCCACAGACCACAGGGGCCCTGGTAGCGTAGTGTGGTTGAGTAAAGAAAGCATCAGGCTACCTACTAATAAAAGGCCGGTGGTTCAAACCCACCAGCAGGAGAAAGAAACAGTCTGTTTCTGTAAAGATTCACAGTCTCATGAGATCCAAAGGGCAGCATTTACCGAAGGACAAAGTTCAGTAGCGTTCTGGAAGGAAGAGGAATGGGAACAGGAAACACAGAGGCAGTGGGATTTTACTGCCACCAGTGAGAGGCAATGGAAATTTATAGTTTGTTGCTTGTAAAACTGATGATGTGCTCTGTAAACCTTCCCTCAATTCACAATAAAATTGAAAAACAAAAACAAAAGATTGGCAGCCTCAGAAATTCTCTGCAGCAGTTTACTCTGTCCTGTACACGCACTCGAAGTCGGAATCGACTTGCTGGCAGTGTGATTTTTACTTTTGATTT